CAGTGATGAATCTAAAACATGTAAAAGAGAATGAAGTATCAGAAGATCATAAAATTCCATTTAGATCAAGTCTGAAAATGGGCAATATTAAACTATTGGGTTGTCGGAAAAGTCATGATGTATTTTTTCTGTTTTTCGTTGCAAAAATGCATCATGACTTTTCCGACACCCAATATATCTTGTTTATGGATATATACTATATGGAATAAAAATTATTCTAAAAAAATAATAAATCCAAAATGTAGGGTAATGTAGGGAAAGAGGGAAAGCAATGCCTTGGGATACGGTATACACATGGGGGTTTTAGGTAGCCGTAATGTTCTATTTCTTGGTAGGTCATTTTATTCTTGTTTTTAAAAACTCTACATGGGGCCGGCCGAGTGGCGCGTTGGTTAAGAGCTGGCTTGGGATGCCAGAGGGCCCCGGTTCAGATCTCACATATGAGGGCCAGTGACACTACCCTCTACAGCTAAGATGCTGAACAACAGGTCAACCTGGAGCTGGGCTGCCGGGAGTCGCCGGTGACAGCATAGGCTGCAGCCCCTGCTGCAGTGGGTTGCCATGGGCTACCATGTGTAGCCAGCAGCCAGCGTGAGCTGCCGTCCAGAAGCCGGTAACTGATCTGCCTTGCCCGGGAAGAGCGCAATGATGGTGCCAACTTGGGCCAGTGAAGCAACATCCTGCACAACTAGACTGAAGAACAAAAGGACAGCAACTTGTCTGTTCCCCTTCCCCCAATTCCCCAATAAAATCTTTAAAAAACAAAACAAAAAAACTACGTGTTTTTATACCTCGTAAACCTTCTCAGGTTTTTTAAAAAAGTATATACTTTATGTAAAGAAAAAAGAGTAAATTTATCCTAACATGTTAAACCATAAGTCATTTTTACTTTCTTTTTAATATTTTCAAATTTTCTCAAAAGTATTTTCTTAAGTAAAATAGTGCCAGCCAGCCTGACCCAAAAACCTACCCTAAATTGGAAATTTGTAAATTAATTTGGGAAAGCGGGGAGAGAGGGAGGGAGAATGGGGCTGGTTTGGTCTAGAAAACAATTTAAACTTAGGCTTATCAATCAATTCTAAAAGCCCATCATTTTTTTCTACACCCTATTTCAGGTAAACTTGTATTTTTTTTAAGCCCACTTATTCTCATTCAATGATTTGACAAAGCCAAACACTGTTATCAAATAAAAATCCCATCCTTCAAACAGCACACATTCCAGCTAGATACACACAATACAGATAGCACTGTATACACATGCCCAAGCCCAAGTGGTTGCAAAGATATTTTAGGTTTTCCTCTGCTTGTTTGGGGAGGAGCATATTATTGTGCAAGTAAAATAAGAAAGCCTACAACTTCCTCAGTTGAGACTGAATGTTGGGAGTGTTTCTGTAATGAGGTGAAGGGACAGAAGGCAAAAAAGAGACAGAGAATGAAGAGAAACAAGGGAAAGAGAGAAATAAAAGAAAAAGATAAAGGGAGGAAGTGAATTAAAGACGGCAGAGAGGGAGAAACACATCATTAACAAGAAGCAACTCTGAGCTTCCAAAAGTCTTCATAGGTATAATTATCTAGGACTGATTTGATGAGAAGATTGAGACTATAATGTAAAAAATCTGAGTCAATGGTATCATATTAAGTGTTACTAGATTGCGTATGTAGACACAACTTTAAGTAAAAAAGTTCCTATGTGTCATCTTACTTAAAAACAGGTTAATCAGGGCCGGCCGAGTGGCGCATTGGTTAGGAGTTGGTTTGGGACACCAGCTCTTAGCAGCGGGACCCCAGTTCGGATCCCACATGAGGACAGTGACGCTCACTGCTGCGCCCTCTATAGCTAAGATGGTGAACAACCTGGAGCTGAGCTGCCGTGAGTCGCCGGCAACGGCATAGGCTGCAGTGGGGCTGCAGTGGACTGCCGTGAGCTGTGAGCGGCTGTCCAATGGCTGGCAAGCAACCGCCTCACCCGGGAAGAGCGCAATGATAATACCAACATGGGACAGTGAAGTGACGTCCTCCACAACTAGACTGAAGAACAAAAGGACAGCAACTTGTCTGTTCCCCTTCCCCGATTCCCCAATAAAATCTTTAAAAGAAAGTAGTGCACACTACCTAGTCTTAAATGAAACACCTACTCCTTAATCCAAGCCCAATTTCATAAATTAATTCCACATAGTTAACAAGGTTTCAATTCAATTTAGCTCCTAACTCTAGTATGATAAGAGTTATCCGAAAATTGAAACACACAGCCAGAAATTCATAAACCTGGTCTTCAAAACCTATGCCAAGAAATTTCAAAACTAAAATAATTTACTTTATTAAAAAGTATAGGATATGCAACATCTTTCATAGAAACACTGTTAAGAAAACTAAAAAAAAGAAAATATCATCATATATAGTTTGCATTATAATTGTCTAAACAAACCTGATTTAGTTCTTGGACTTAAAAAAAGAAAAGATTCCATTCCTAAATACTTATTTGATAGCTGGGTCAGAATTATTTCAAAACCTACCACAGGCTTACATGGTGATATTCCCTATAAGTCTTCCCTCTCTTTGCCTCCATTCAAGTTACATCTTTTCAAGTTACTCTTTTTTATGGAATAAAGGGAAAAAAAAACAGCTGCTTCTAAGATACAGTGATTCACTACCTCATCATCTGTCAACACCACAGGTGCCATACCACTCAACTTTTAAAGGACTCCATTTACTCAAATTAACTAAGAGCTAACTGATATTTGCTGACCTACAGGTTCCCTCAAAGAGAAATAGGTGATTTGTTTAAGATCAGAGGAACTTTAGTTTGTGAATTCATGCAGACTGCTTCTTTTGAGCAGGCATTAATTAATTCTTCATAACATATTTACACCAAAAAAAAGTCTTATAACAAAAAAAGAGCTTACAATAAGTCATCATTTAATAAAAATTAAAAAAACAGGACTGGGAATGAACACTTCAAAACTAACACTTACAAACTGAAGTCTTCACTTCAAACAAGTTCAAATCTTCAACACTGGTTTATACTTTCTACATGTAGCTTATACTTAAGGGAGTAGAGATATCAACCAGTTCCCATCAAGACAAGCACATAATGAAGTAAACCTATTTTTCTCCATGTTCTCCTACTATTTCTTCCCAAACAATAAAAGTCACTCAGGCTATCCATGAGACACTCCCGGTGAGTACTGCACAGGCTGCACCAGTTAGTTACCAGGAAAGGGAAGCAGAGGTGTTATTGTTGTTCCAGCCTTGTTCTAAAGGCAGCTCGGTGTGACTGTGCTGGTCCAGCCCGCATTTAAAGAGAGAGGCCAGAGGAAACCAGAGCAGCAGGAAACACGCAGGAGAGGCAATTACCACAACCCTTTCCCATGGCCTCATTCCCATGCCATCATTTTCAGCCATATTTCAATCATAACAAAAACCTCCCTTCTCTGAATCGTTTCTTAATTATTGAGGGTCAGAGGCAACAAGGAAGCAAAAAGGGGAAATCAGAGCTGTGAGAAACAAGCAGGACAGGGGTGGGGAGAAATCTCATCACATATGTGAACTAGCCATAAGGAGAAAAAAATCAGAAGGAACTCACTAGAGGCAAGCAGAACAGTAGTGTGGGAAACGAATCATTTCTGCCTAATGATAGATAAGAGAAACCTTCACAGCAATAAGAGGATAGCCCTAACCTAGTCAAGGGGCCTTGCAAGCAGGTAAGTGATGTTGGTGTACTGGAAGACTATCATCTAAAGAGTGGAATTTACTGCCTTTCCTGAGACAGACAGGCACCAATCTAAGCACCCAATGCCTAGGATACAGGAGAGCTCAGGTCTTGTCAGGTATTATGTCCATCTTCCTTCCACCTTTATTAGACAAACACACTAAAAAGGACACACATTTCATGGCAAAAAGTGAGGAACACGCTAACCGCTTGCATACCTCTTGATTTTAAAAGTACTATCATAATGGAAAAGAAAATATAAAACCACTGGGTTAACCCAAAAAGTTAATTACATGCCCTTCAAATAAAAGGTGATCTTTGGATACCTAATGGAGACCTTAAAAGGCTCTCAAATTGTTAGGACACACAGGTGCTGAAGAAAAGAGTAAGCCTAAATACTAGCAGACCATATACTTTGGATATAAGTAGTAACAATATTCAAGGAGGTGATAGTAAACAACAAAATAATGTTAAACAGAAAATAACAGTAATGATGATGGGATCCATCTAGAGAGAACCAGGATAAGAGATCAGGGTGGTGGCACTTGAGATGCCTGGGCAATAGATTAAAAACCCAGGGGAAAAGGTGGGAAAGCCAAGTGAGAAAGTGGTTCAAAGGCAAACAAAACTGAGATGTAGTAACATTTTGAATATACATTACAACAGAAAGCGCTTTAGTTTACCAAGCGCTCTCAAACCTACATTAAAGAACTGTGACACAACCATGAACCAGGACTGAGGAGAAAACTGAGTCCCAAGAGTCTAACACCAAAGCCTTCCAAAATAAAAAAGGAGTAGAGTTGAACTATGCCTCCGAGGCTAGAGAGCGCAGCAGAAGTTGGGCTCTGAGAGGTCCAGCTCCAGGACTAGCGAGGGACAGGCGTGAAAACCGAAAGATGGTCAGGATGGGGAGCGTCTGCGTGGCGCGGGAGCTCCAGCGGACAGGCAGGAAGGGACCGAGGTGGGAGAGAAAACCACACCCTCCAGGGCAGAAACCCGAACAGGGTGGAAGGCGCCCCCTGGGGCTAGGTGGGGTCGGGTCAACTAGGACCGGAATAGGCAAGAAGCAGCATAAGGCAACCCGCCCGGGAGAGGAAGGAGGGAGCCTGGGCCTGGGCATACTTAGGACTCATGAAACTGGCGAGGGAAGCTCGGCCCGGTCCTCACGGTGGGCGCTAGGGCAGTATGAAGGGAGCTGGAGGAAAGAAGAGCTGAACCCAGAACTACAAAGCGCACGTTGCAGCGCTCAGGGCCCCGGGACACGGAAGAAGAGAGAGAGGGTGCCAATTACCGCCGCTGTTCACGCTGAACTCGGGACCGCAGCCGCCGCCGCCGCTCGTTACCTGCCAATGTGCCTCTTACAAAGCGGCGGCAGCGGCAGAGGCGGCCCGGTCCGTCACGTGACCGCTACGTCTCGAGCGAAGGCGGAGCCAGCATGCGTCGCTCGTGCACGGCTCATCAGCCCGCCCACGAAGCGCGTCGCTTCCTCTAGCCATCCACAAAACGAACGTAAGCGAGACCTGCATTTCCGACGCGGGGAATATAAGGAACATTTTACGGGATTTCTCGTACTCGGAGTCATCAGGAGTCTACTACTCACCGCATCCAGGATACCTACCACAGCAGCTCGTTGTCGCGCTGTGATGACCTCACAAGACACCACAAGTCGCTTCCCTACGCCGACCTCCTCTCATCACGTGATGTGATCCAACCACTCAAGGCAACAAACGTTGCGCGAGGGCACTACGACTCCCTACCTGCTGCACTGCAAAGGCACTCAGCAGCGCAGCCTTTCGCTCGAGGGTTCATAGGCGGTGCGTCTAAGAGTGCCGAGGGACGGGCGAGACGGCAAGTGACAGGGCTAGCATCTTAGGGTAGTACCAGTGGGTGGTGCCTACCAGGTGGCTGAGCGTGGTTCCTGCTGCGAGATGTAGTCGGGGAGGGGGGGGGTAGGTTCCCACACCCACATTCCCGTGCTCGCGCTCCGCCCCGTTCCCTGCGCGGGAAAACGCCAACGGCTAGCCACAGTACCCGCGACACGGAGAGGGCTTCAAAAAGTCTCCACGGGACAGCAAGGCCACGCGGCTTCTGTCTTATTAAATGTGGGGTCGAATTCTGCATTTTCAAGTCCCTTTTGCGTGAAAAGATTAAACATTTATTGAATGCCTACTCTGTCAACCGTTTATACACCGTTTTTATTAAATCATATAATCAACCCTTTGAGGCATGGACTGTCCCCGTTTTAAGCATAAAGAACAGCTTAGAGAGGTTCGTTCCGTTTCTCAAAAGACCCAAACCAGATTTTCTACCTCCAAATAATACCTTCAAAAAGATCTCACCTGTTTTAAATGCATAAAGGAAGAGATAGTGGTTTATAATTATAATACAATATTTCAGAGTTTAAAGTATTTTCTTATTTACTGGCCGGGCAATTTGATCCTCAAAAGTAGTGTTCCAGACTGGCTAGATAACATGGACTTTGGAGTCCAGCAAGCCTTACCTCAATTCGAGCTTTGCTTTGTTAATAACACCAGTTCACCAGATTATGAAAATTAAATGAGATTATGTAAAGTACTTGCTTGACACATAGGAAATCCTCAATAAATATTCATAGTTATTTTCACACCCTGTATGCACCCGTTGGGTACAACAGGTCTAAATAAGATGGGACGGGAATTAGGTACTGATCTTTGTAGGGGGGCATGATACTAATTCTTATGGTAATTTGCTAGTTCCTAATAGACAAGTTGTAGGTTAAATTAAGGGATGAAAAACAATTGAAACCTTACCAGTCCTGCTCAGCTCAAGGAAGGCCTTTGTTATTCATCTAAATTGATCAAAGAATGCTGATGCTGTGCCTTTAACAAATAAACCTTATCATGACTATTAATATGTAGATGTATCTTATCTCTCCCCTTTTGACAGTGAGCTAGGATTGTGTCCACTCAGTATAGTCTTCCCCCTTTTTGTATTCCTGCTTTATAGAAAAGTGTGGGAGAGTACAAGATAAAAGTACTCTCGAGAGGCAAAAACTTAATGGAAAGTGCACTAGAAAACAATAGTGGAAGGATATATACAAACCTGATAACAATAGTAGCTGTTTCTTAGGAGTGGGAAAGATGGTTTGTGATTGACGGTGCTAGTAAAAAGGGACTCGATTATGTTTTAATTTTTTACATGGAGAAGGTACTGGTGTTTTAAAGCTTAAGAAAAGACCAGGGCCGGCCGAGTGGCGCGATGGTTAAGAACTGGCTTGGGACGCCAGAGGGCCCCGCTTCGGATCCCACATATGAGGGCCAGTGACACTGCCCTCTGCAGCTAAGATTGTGAGCAGTGGCTCGGCCTGGAGCTGGGCTGCGCAGTGGCTCGGCCTGGAGCTGGGCTGCCGTGGGACCCCGGCGACGGCTAGGCTGCAGCCCCTGTGGCAGTGGGTTGCCATGGGCTACCATGTGTAGCCAGCCCAGAAGCCCTCAACTGATCTGCCTCACCTAGGAAGAGCGCAATGATGGTGCCGACTTGGGCCAGTGAAGCAACGTCCTCCACAATTAGACTGAAGAACAAAAGGACAACAACTTGTCTGTTCCCCTTCCCCCAGTTCCCCAGCGCTGTTCCCATCCCTCAATTCCCCAATAAAAAAAAAAGAGAGAGACCAGAGAGCATGTGTTAGCTCTGTGACCTTGTAAAAGCTATGCTAGCAACCCAGACCTCAATTTTTCTTCTGTTATTATATTTAAAAACATCTGTCTTTTCTGTGCTAGGTATACTGTGCTGGGTGCTTTCATTAATTATCGTTTATGAAGGGAGAAGCCCTACCTAGGACCTAGAATCAGAGAAAAAAAAAGGGCATTAAAGTCCTAAAACTTCACTGATTGTAGGTATTACCACCTGGATGCAATAGAATCATCCTCTCACAATAATTTCCCCTAAGGGATATCATTAACACTCTTTTCCACCCAGCCTGACTGAGATATTGACTTTAAAGCTGATTTTGCATCCTGTGACAGTAAAGAAATTCCTTCCACCAGTTTTTGTTTGCTAAAGTGTTCTTGCCTGGACTAAAGTGAGAGCATAATGTGATGAAATATATAATACTCTGGAGAAATTCACACAAGCCTAGGCTTTTAAGCCTATACACAGGTAGATAAGTAAAATCAATCATTCTTAGATGAGGCCCATTTCAAAAAGAATCAGTTAATACGTGGCTGAGATTTAGGAAGATAGAATTAAGATATATAAACTCCAAAGCAGAATTTTCACAACCTAGATAAAGCTAATTACAATTCTAATCTACTCAGTTATAGTAAAATAATGATCATAATCAAATGCATTATGCCCTGCATAAAGAATGTGATAACTGAAAGGGAATGGTGTGTATAGAATAAAAATTTTAAAAGTGAACCTTAACCAAAAATGTGCCAGGAAAAGGGTGGTCTGACCAGCACATGGAACATTCTGGTCCCTTTGGCAGATCTCTGTCTTTAGCAGATAGAGATGGCTGCTCCATACAAATTAGCCATAAAGATCACTCAAGATCCCCTAACTTGTGTTCCATATAACCAGTCACTTTCTAATTAGAATTTGGCTTCTCCTGAAGATTTTCCTCCAGAGGTGTGAAGCATTGTTGACCAGAAGACCATATGTCATTTTGCTTGGCTAACAGTACAATGACAATTTTGACAATGACAATTTGGAATATACCATCAGTTTCTGATGTAAGTTTATACCCAAAGCCAGCTGAGCTGTGGGCATGCTGACCTTGGGAATCAGTAAACAGACATTGAATGATACTGCCACTGTGTGAGACCTGTGCAGAATAGCCAAAAAGACCCCCTAGTTACACTATTGTGCCTCATTGCTATAAAAGTCCAGTTCCCTTCTAACTCTACTAATTAATAACTTGCCCTTTCTAAATTTGTTTCTTCATGTATATAAAGGAGCTAAATTCTGCCTACTTTATAAGGCATTGTCGGGTTCATATAAGATACTGCATATTAAAGTCCTCAAAATATAATTTACTCTAAAAATGATAAGGAACTATTATTACCAGGAAGAACTCTATTTGGTTACACCAGTACTTGTACAGCCCTAGTCAGTGGTTAAGGCTTGGGTTCTAGAGGAAACCAGGAAGGCCTAGATTCTAGAACAAGGTTCAGCAAACTACAACTCAATTTGTGGACCAAATCCAGCCCACTTCTTGTTTTAATACAACCCACTAGCTAAGAATAAGTCTTACATTTTTGAAGGGCTAAAAGAAAAATCAAAAGAGTAATATTTCATGACACATAAAACATGAAATTCAAATTTTAGATTCATGTTCTATTGGACCTCAGCCATGCTTACACATTTATGTATTGTCTATGACAGCTTTCACACTACAATAGCAGAGTTGAATATTTGTAAAAGAAATCACATGGCCCAGAATGCCTGAAATATTTACATTCTAGCCTTTTACACAAAAGTTTCCCAACCCTTGTTCTGGAAGAATCTAAGTGTGTAACCTTAGACAAGGTACTTAATCTCATCCTGCTTAGTTTTCTCATCTGCAAAATGGGGATAATAATAACTACATTAGAGAATTATCTGGAGGATTCAATTAAAGTGTTGAGTTTTTGTTTTTATCTTTTTTGACAAAAACTGAAATTTCTGTGATATTCTGAAATTTCACTGAAATTACTAGATAAATAGACATACCAACAATGCCTAAAAGAGGGAATATAGCTAATCAACAAACATGGAAACATGTTTTGCCTCACAATTTTTTAAACAAAAGTTACAGCAATATTATGCATTTTGTCTATCAAATTAATAGAGAGTAAAAATAATGATGTTACCCAATGTTAATCAGTGTTTAGTAAAGGAAGCACTCTCCTATTTGGCTAATATGAATATAAATTGGCATAAACCTTTTGGAAAACAAAATGTCATAATATATGTCTTAATATATGCCTTTCATCCAAAGCAATTCTGATTCTCTGCCCTAATGAAATAATTTTAAATATGGAAAAATTGTTATGCAGAAAAGAACACTTCTCACAGCTTTATTTATAAAAGAACAGAAATGGAAGCATCTTACATATCTGACTATAGAGAAATGGTTAAGTACATTATGACATTCTTACTAGATCCTACATTATGCAATCTTTATAGATAATATTTACAAAGAGCATGCCTGGACGTGGGAAAACGCTTGCTTTATACTACTGTTAGGTATAAAGGGCCAAAACCAAATCACTGAGTGGATATAACTACGTAAAAACACTATGTATAGGAAAGAAAGTTTATAAAAATACATAAAAAAATATTAATATGGGCCATGTTTAGATAATGGGATTATAGGTAATATTTTCATTCCTGTATTTT